CGTGTAATAACGCGGTGTCGTAAAATTTCATGCTGGGTGGTCCGGGACGCAAGATGGTGGAAGGATCTCCCAGGCGTATTATTATGTCGAAATAAATTTAAGATTAGCCGCACTATCGATTCAGCTGTTCCGCGTAATTTTTCGTAATTTTTTCAAGATTAACTGCTCGTCAGCTCGTCTTTGTTCCGACTCTTGTACCTCTCAATCTCTCAGGTATCTTCTTGTTTTCTTTCGCTTTGAATGTACACACTGACATAATTATTGGCTTCTTCGAGCATGTAAACAGGAATGTTTCGTTTTTACACGAGAAACACGCTTGAACTAATGCTATTACATACTGTGCACTATGAGTCTTCAAGTTCTTAAAAAAAAAAAAAAAAAAACTATACTGTGGGCTATAACAAGTTTAAAAAAAAGAAGAAGAAAAACACATTAAAACGGTATTTTAGGTAAAATATTTTACCTTTATTTTAAAGTAAAATGAGATATTTACTTTTTCAAATAAAATAAAAATAAAATACTTCAACGTAGAAAGTAGATGATAGATTGATCACTTCGAATGCTCGAGAAACTCTTCATTACCAGTTCGCCGTGTTTATATATAGACGTTTCTCTGGCCAGCCTCTTTTCGACCATCTTCCTCCTCCTCATTTCCGTGCGTGTTCCCTTTCATCGAGAAACGGAAACCCGCAGAAGCAGAATTCAAAAAAGAACAAAAAAAAAAAAAAGAAACGAGATGCTTAATATTAAAATTAAAATTATTAACTCTAAAACGAATAAGCCAACACAAAAACACACACCGTCTTCGTAGCCTTCCTTGAGCAACCGTTTGATAGAAAACAAGCCGTAGCTTCGTGCGTTTAACGCTCCTTAACGTTAATTAACGTTCAATTGAAAGACAGCGGGGGGGATCGATATTTCCGAGCGGCGCGTTCGATAATGTAAAGTGATGTTATCTGCGAGCGTATTCTTCGAACACATTCCAGGTAGTTAGACAAGTCCACGTTGTTGACCAGCGAAAATCGACGAATGAAGGCGAAGCTTGCTTCACTGTTCCTTCGTTTCTACAAATGTGAACATGTTAGAAAAAAATATTTATAATTAAATAAAAAGCTCGAATACTTTGAAAAATCTCTCATTAATTGAGACAGTCTAATAGTTTTCTTCCTCCTCGTTACTCTTTAACTCGTTAACTTTCACTCCGACTGTTAATTTTCAGTCCTCTTATCATTTCTGCGTTTTATATACTTTCAGTAATCGCCGAAAATTCTCCAAATTCGAAATCGTTTGCTTGCTACGCTGGACTTTTCCTTCGTTTCTCTCTGCCATACTCTCATTAACCTGTTAACTTAGGATAAGAAATATTTCGTCATACAAGGATGATAACTGAAATGGCCACGACGACATTTTTCGTGACGAAAATTTTGAAAGTAAACGTGCGATGATATTTTATTGAATGTTTGTATATTTGCATAAATATGTCACGAAATATTAGTCGACAAGTGGAGAAAACGATTTTTCTTTTATTATACTTTAGGCGTAATGGCGTCAATTCTCACTGCGAAGGAAAGAAATCCCCATTGCGAAGCAAGTTATTTTTATATAAACCAAAGTTAAGTCCCCTGTTAACAGGTTAATTTCGATCGATCTTGTTAATTTTATCATTCCTTCGTTGAAACGATTCTCCCCTCGGATTTGAAAGTGTTCCGAGAAAATGGACGTGTCGATCTGTTTGAACGCGAGTCACTGGTAAAAGATTCGTCGGGCAAACGACTTCATTAAGTCGTCGCCGAGGGGAAGTTTCCGATAATTAGATTCACGGAAAAAATGTTGGAACAATCGTTCATTCATCAACGAGTGAGAGATTGTTGAACACGGTTCCCTGCACGGTGTGTGCATGTACCACTGGACAGGTATTTATAGTTTTCCAGACTTCTCGCGTCTGTGGCCGCGGCGCGACCGGAAACCGGCCGATTATATTTAGAAAAAGACCTGGCTGGAACTGTCAGAATAACAATTCTGCTCGCGTTTGTCGAGAGAATCGCCACGAGTCTTTTTCAAACGCGACGTCCGTTGTTCGTTTAACGATTCAACAAGTTAGAAAGCGAGCTATGAATTCCCCGGTTACGTCATTACCGATTCAATTCATTTTCTAAAGTTGTGTGACTTTCGATCTTCCGTAATTTCTTCAACGTTAGCACAATTATCGATTGTTAATTATTATTGAAACTCAAGGCTTGACATTAAGTTTTATCGAAAGATTATTTTTATTATCATTATTTTGATTTAACTTTCAAAGGAATTTCTCTATGTATCATAAAAAATATAAATCACACAGTCGTTCGTTTTATTTTATCTGTCAATTTCTCTTCGTATCGGAAATTGATTCTTGATCGATTTGTTTCAAAATCGTCAGATTGTTCAAATTATCATATCATGCACAGTAATTTGTCATAGTTTAAATGAAAATTGTCCATTCGGAGAAATGTGACGAGTCCATGTTTGTTAAATTTCTGACTTTCATCTGACGATTGAAGAAAGGAATAACCTTTCAGGTCGATTCAAAATCTAAAAAATTGCCATTTCTTGCCAATTTTCTCACTTCTCTGTCACTTGTTGACAGTCGAAAGAAAGGAGTAAACCCGATCGATTCAAAGTCACAACCCTTCCGAATGTCAGTCCATTTTCTAAGTCCTTTTTCCCAAAAATTAAACTCCATAATAAATGAAAAATAAATAAAAGAAAAAAAAAGGAGACGCAATTTCCTCCCTCCGCGCCAAAACAAAAGAAACAGAAATAAAGATGAAAGAACGTAACAACAGCCTTAGAGTCGACGATAGAAATGGGAGAAGCATCGACTTGCCTAGAATTAGGCAGTGGTTTTCGTATTAAAAGATGACGAGGCAAACACTATGTGCCAGTCGAGCCAGCAGATGCTGTGGCACAAAGTGGCCCTCGATCCTCAGAGCTCCTCCCTGAGGATCAAGGTCGCACTTTTTGCAAGCGCGTTCACCTCGCAACAAAGAAGAAGAGAGGAGACGATGGACCACCGGATGTGGATCATCGGCGATCCTCTCGATGCCCGCAGACGTTTATTGCGCAATTAAAAATCTTCGTACGGTCACCGGTCGACTGGATTTGTTGCGGTTCGCGAATGAGAGAGAGAGAGAGAGAGAGAGAGAGAGAGAAATCTCTCGAAGGGCCAGCTTCCGGCGGCGAAGCTCTTTTTCTCAGATCTGCGACCGGCGAAAAAGTTTAATTCGTGCGAGAGAAGCGGAGCGGGGGGACGTTTCCGGTGCAACTCGCTTTCTGCGAGAGCAAGGATTTGTTTCGCGGTGGCTCCTCTCCTCTTGGAATATTTCACGGCAGAATACTCAACTGAAAATCAGTCGACGGGAATTTATCAAAACGTTAATTTTTTAACGAATTAATTA